TATTCATATATTAAGTACTCCGCAGTATCAACCCGAAAATAACAAATTTCATTCAAATTTTAAAGTATTTAAAATGCGACAGGAGATACATCCAAATTGTTATTCTTAAAGAAATTACAGATCGTATAAATAAAACAGTAGTTTAAGTTTTCACCTCCTATCACTTCGACTCGCGCAATATAAAATGACTGGATTACTCAAGATACTTCAACAAACAACCGACACACATTCGTGGAACTTAATTAAAACGCGTGGACCGACAGCTAATTGTTCGTATAAAGTAATCGAATTTCGATGGATAATATGAAGACAGACTTGCATTACCTTCTCGCTTGAATATTTCCGTGTGAATGATAATACAGCACGACGCAGCCTTGTGACTTGTGTTCGAGATCGAAACAAAACGAACATCAAGGTCGTCAGCCAGACAGCCTCGCTGTTGGGAAATGTTTAACGTATTATGAAATAATTATGAATACTAATTCCGTTTCTTCCTTTTCAAATCAATTATTAATTATCAATTCGACATAACGCGACTTCTCACATTATCGGACTCGGCTCATATTATCTAACATTATAAATATCAGTTGCAAAATAGCAGACTGATATAATTTTTGATTGAATTAATTGAAATTTTGGTTGAACATGGACGGATCAGAATTTTTTTGGATAATTTACTAGAATTCTAGTTGTGGTTATTGATTAATATAATCTTCTAGTTCGTCCATTTTCAACTAGACATTTTTTTCAGTGCAGATAAAACTCCTTTCCTGTGACTCTTAATGACAGTAAGAATATCGTTACATTGTCGTTGCACTGGTTTTGCATATGATAAAAAAACTGCGCAATGACAATATAACAATCGCTACTGTCGTTAAGAATTACAAAATAGAGATCTTAAGATTTTTACAAGATCAGAATTATATCGCTAAAAAAATGATTTTTCTTACATTTGTTTTCTCTCTCTCTCTCTCTCTCTCTCTCTCTCTCACCTCTTACGTCTTTCTTACAAATTCTATTTCTTAATCTTTTTTCCATTTCTGATTTCTTTAACAAAAATACAACTGTAAATACGAGTCCAAGAGAGGATATTACGTTATCCGTTCAGTTTGTCAAGGAATCGAAGAGAATCGTTAAACCAAACGTCGTCGTCTATATTTTATTTGTAAGAATAATGCAAAGAGAACTGACTGTGCAAATAAGTCTAAGAACGCGTACGGAGAAATTCTTTAATAATTTATTTTTGGATCTCGCCTTTGAACGATGGAGAAAAAAAATTGCTCTAAAAATACGTAGGCGAACGCGGGAGTTTTGTTTACGGACCATGAGACATATTGATCAGCGTATAATAGCGCATATATCTCTAGGCTGCATTTATACAACGCATAAGAGTCCGCGATATTAGAGTCGAATGTGATAGCGACTTTTAATACACACGTTGTGCCACTCATTTTCGATCGAATCAACCAATGCTACTGTAATAATTAATGCAATCATTATGATTAATTACGGCCATAACTTCGCGCCTATCGAATTGTCATTACGAATTGACAAAAAAATGTTCTACAGCGAGAACGACAGAATGGTAAATTCTGTAAACGATTCAACAAAAATATTGTCAGATAATCAAGTTTTTCAATAAATAACAATATTATTTTTTTCATAGAATTACATTTAATTTATTTATTGTATAATATTGAAATATCGGTTACCGATTTGGAGCAATAACAACGTTAATTTTCAAAGCTTTATTATGCAGCACTATAATAAAGTTTTATGTAGACTTTATTTTTATTTATTTATTCAATTTCTAAAACAAAACGCGTTTTATCAAATTTGTTGAAAGATAATATACAAAATCACTATTTTTTGTCAATCCATTTTTACGAAAAAGTATTTCGATGTATATTACATCTATCATCGATCATACAAACGAACATTAATTAAATAAGTTGATAAGTCTTTCTATAGACATCTTTCGTCGCGAAGAATTCGGAAAAAATTACACTACTATTAAACCGTGCATTTCGATTTTTTTTATAAAAATACAGTTTTTCTATGATGTTTAAGACAATACAGATATTCTATGATAATTTTCAAAGATTGTAATAGATACAAGCAACGATTTCTAAAAATCTACATCTTTTCTCCATTTTATATTATAAAATGTATATAAAAAAAGAAAATAATTGCATACAAGCGACAAGACCGAAATGATATATTGAACATACCGTGTCATTCGATTAATCAACGCGCGATTCAATCTGTTCATACATTTATCAATCTTTTCGACAAGCAAAATAATCTATGATTCAACTGTGATCTTTTCTAAGTTAAAAGTTATTTTAAGACCCAATAATAACAAAATATACTTGAATAACAGCTTTATGCTAATTAAATAAATATTAACTAATGTCCTCATATTTTTGAAAGAAACGTTTTCAATACATTTCTAAATATTAAATTATACTTCATTTAATTTCGGATTAGTATATCTATATTAACTTTGAATGTTTTAAATTATATATTTAATCAAGATTCTCAATTTGTTGTGTATATTTTATTATAATTTAAGTTTTCTATTATGTATGAGAAATTTTTAATACCTAAATTTATTTCATGCAATATAATTTTATTAATTTTACTCACGTGAAGTGTCCAGAACACTCCCGCTTTATAAATTCGCTAAATGTATAAATACTATTTATACACATTATTATATATTTATATACCAGCAAAAAATGTATACAGTGGCCTACATTTTTTGCAGGTGAGTATATTTAACGTAAATTGTTTACATATTAAAAAAATTTTTGCATTCATATTTTAATATTTACATCTAAAGGATATACAAAATATTATGAATTTTTATTAAATTGTAAATCATCAAAGAGAACAATGAAAATTGAGATATAATATTGAGATATCAGATACATCCCATGCGAGTAATTATGTTAAAAAAATTACACGAGGTAATGCAGGTTTAATAATAAGCTTGCGAATATATTATTTTCTTTATAATTAGAAACTGTAAACATCCGCACACAGATATATCAAAATATATAGTATTGTGATATACTTACCACTTTGACGTGCTTTCATGCTTTTGCAGACGCGCCTCCTTTTCATGACACATACACGATATTTGCTCGTCGCATAGCACGGATCTCTTAATTCTTAGCCGATGCAACACGATCTCGTAATTCGCCAGCAAACAATTCTTGCAAGTTCGAGAAAATCTCAGTGCCGTCGAGATGTTATCTTTATTATTAGTAAGAACTCCGAGTCGTCGGATTCGCAACGACAACTCGGATTTTGTATCGCGAATCTTTGTCATCTTTCATCCGAGCGCCACTCAATCACTGATGCGATTCATGTGTCGTACAAGATTTCGACTGGTATCTAACATCATGCAGAGCTTCGACACTTCCTTCCTACTCTTTCGACCGCGATTCGAAGTCTCATCGCGGAAGATGCCGTGCGGCAAGAATTCTTCTTATCAATTTACGTTTACGCTTGATGAAGAATTATCTACTATTTGGCAACGACAGTCACCGGATCACGAGGTGTATCATTATAGCACGATAACAGGATGTCCTATTATAACGCACCTGCACAGCGATGCTGAACGATATGAGAATATGGGAACGAGAACAATTTTGTTGACAGTGACGCAAAAGTAACAGAGCTTATCAGACGTGGCGACTATTTGTTTATCATTTATCGCGTACCTGGTTACTCTACAAGGTAAGTGCCGTGGGTTGTTACACATGAGTTACGTACAAGAAGGAAAAGTTATCGATTCAAGTATAATACTTGTTACAGCTAAATAGTCTTGCGATATAGTACCGATATAATATATTAATCTAAATCAAATTTAAATGAAAATCAAACTACTTCTCTAATACAATACTTGCTATTAAAACGTCATACATTTGCGATTTTTCTATTCTCAATAATGAAGATAGGACGATAGCTATTATTTATGTATTTATTCTTATTAATATAAAAAAATGTGATTTTCAATGAAACAATTAGTTACGTCTTTCAAAAATTATAAAATTTGAAGTAACTGTATACTTCTGAAACTTGATTATTAACATTTCTCATTAAATATTATTTTTTATGTTATTTTATGCTATTTTTTCCAAATAATTTATACATGATATAAATGTAATTATGAATTTATTTTATTGCATGCTTTTAGCACAATATTATCATTAAAATATTGCTCAATAAAAAACTAAATAATGTTATAAGAATTAGCAAATTAAGAGACATGCTAGATATAATATGTATGTATTTATACTGAACTCTTTGTCACTCAACGTCGATTAGAATCTTTATTGCGTTTCGCTTACACGCTATTCATTCATAAAATCGTTTATTCACCAGAAGAGAATGGACGTTAATAAATACGCAAAATATTCCTAGAATGCCTAATCAGTTGAAATCTAATCTTAGATAGCCATTCATCGAAATCATCTTCTCAATTCTAATAATTTAATGCGTTTGCCACTCTTGTGATTACATTAATAATAGCGTCTCTGACTACTTACTTCTGACTGGGTCGTCCCCAACGTTAATTAAAGTCAAACGATATCGAAATTAATGACAATTAATTTGTCAATAATTATATTCAACATTCACATTCGACATTAAAATATATTCAACATATATTCACATATATATTCTATTTTTTAATTTATATTCGATATTGAAATTAATTGTAATTATAATTTTTTAATAATTATATTTAAATCGTTTTTTAATAAAAAATAAATAATTTTAATTTTAAAAAACAATATAATATATAGTTCAATATTTTTTACGTACTTGGTGTATATTTTTTTCTTTTTTCAGTAAAATGATTTTTTAGGGATTAAAGAATTATTATCTGCTTTTTCTCTCTAATCCTTTAATAAATTTAAATAAAATATAAGGACGGCTATGATCTCTGTAAGTCTCTGATAATTGCTGATATTGTTCGTAAAACTCACCCATTGATGATGGAAGCGGATTCATCGGCGTTAGATGGGCCCGACACCTTGACTTTGGGCAGGGTGTAACTGTCCAGGTTTTGTCCATAACCTGCACCTTGCTCGTGATGGGCGGTATAGTCATCGCTGTCACTGCTCGGCGGTTGCTCCGACCCGACACCGCCTCGAGGTCTACAATAAAACGAATCACCAGATATTAATGAACAGATAAACGAGAGACACAAATTTTATAGTATTACATGAAGTACGGTCGCGAAGTGTCTCGCGTGACTCTGCGTCGAATTTCTATTCCACAAAATTTGTATCGTATCACCGAGAGTATACAGGATATATCACGCAATACGCATTTCGAACTGAAATACCTTTCTAGTGATATTTAATCAGGCCGGTTAAACTATTCCGTTCTCTTACACGTTTCACCAAGAGATCGATAATTCAACTCGATTTTCCAAGCTTCGTGACAATCAGTTTGTAATGCGCGGACACGTGGATTTTAAATCGCCGAATTACCATCGTGATATACGATATGTAACCGTACGATATATTGCCAACAGATGTGTATTGATCCAGTTAGAAACGAAAGATATATAGAGCATCTCTGATGCATATCTGTCCTTGAAGATGATTTTACTATATATAAATTTACTACTAAATCTAACGATTTAGCTATTTATATGTATTATAGATACACATACATATTTGGAAATAATTTTGTTGGATTATCAAAATAATTACATAAGAATCTCAATCATGGTGAGCAAAAGTTTTGATATTCAAGCAACCAGTTAGAACGTCCTACACAATTATTTTCATAGTCCAACAATTATTTTCAAATCCTATAATCTAGGTAAATTAGTCAGATACTTCAGCAAAATCATCTTTTTTATGTAGTTTATATAACTTCTTTTCTAGAAAAAATTTGTAGAACATATTTTGTATCTATTTCTTATTGTTGAATTTTCAAATGTACGGTCCAGTAAAATTCTTATTGTTTATAACGTCTAATATGTACGTTAAAAAAATATAGAAATGAAATTGCAAAATATGTAATATACATATCTTCGTTATGAAATAATTTCTATCAAAAATTGATAAAGAGATAAAACATATGCTAATAATGTTAAATAGAAACACTGATAATTTTAGCGAGCATACATTTAGGGTGCGCAAATTTCTGAGTTTAAAACTGAATCGAAAATATTCGAGGCATGAGGATAAGCAAACGTCACGATCAGCTGTCGCCAGAAGCGTGACGAATCCCATTGCAATGCGGATCGGGAAATTAACTGGTTGAGTTAATCAAACCGCGAGTTAATCGACTCTATCTCACATGGACAGAGAATACAATACATGTGCTTCAACGGGAGCAGCGTGGAAAGATTCCTATCTCCGTGAAGCATACTCTTTGCGCACGTTATGGAGCAATTGCTGCTTGTAAAGCAAATCGTTCGGCTTCTTTTATTAGCGGTACCAGAATCATGTTCAGAATACTTATCGCCATTCATAGGATCATAATTAAATTGATCGAAAGCGAAATTCGAAAGACAAACGAAACGTAGCATCAAAATAATGTTTTAATCGTGTTAAAATAATAGTTTCATTAAAAAATCTAATTTTAATTTAAACGGAAAATTAATCAGAATAATTTTAGATTTTTGCGATATAATTTTTTAGAAAACGAGTAAAATAAATATTAATTCATTGACCATGCCAATAATAAAATTTGTAAATTAAAAACAATAATAAATAATTCCCTTTTAGGAATTCAATTTTCTGATAGTCATCCTAGCACAGAATTTTAACCAGGAAAGAAATTCTTTTTGTCATAATTCTATGTAAGACGAGCTTTAAAAATAATTAAATGTCCACTGTTTTTGCATCTTGATTCCAGTCTATATTTTAACAATTTAGCGTTTGTATTATTTTTTTCCTTTTATCTCTACTTTGACTTTCCGGATCCTTATGTTATATATTTCAGCAGAGCGTAAGACTGTGGGATCGATTGTCCTAAACTCGCACTGGCATTGCGCCAGTGCAGTCGCATTATTGCAGAAGTATATTTCTAGAATAGCAAAATGTATACGCGATAATAAACGAGAGAGGAAAAAAGAAAGTAAATATTCCGCGAATCCTCAGACTGCTCTACCGTTTGCCTCATATCCGTCACGTCGAGCGAGAGTGTTCATGACAGGGCAAATGCATTTGTCGTACAACTGCGAAGCATTCGTCACGTCCGGAACAAAGTCTGTCCAGAACAAACAGCATTTGGAAGCAAACGCAATGATTTCTTCAATTTCACATCTCACAAAACATTCGCATTCACGCGAAGCGTGTTGTTCGCGCTAAACTCGAACTATATTTTGCTCACGGTAGATATTCTTTATCAAGATAAATCACGAAGCACTGAAAATTCATTTAAGAGTTGAAATATTGCTACGTTGCGAGCTACAAATTCGCTTTGAAAAAGAACTGATTTACGAGTTTCTTTTCATTCGCGATAGTATAGCATCTAAAGTTGAATCGCTGCGCTACGTAGAAGTCGTGCAAATATGTATCTACATGTCAGTTAACGTGGTAGTAACGCTCCATATTTATATTTATTCGTTCGTAAAATGACTGCGAAGAAAAAAGTAAAAGCCAAATATTGTGATACAATATCTGCAATAACAAGATGATCCGAGAGCTGAAGAGTAGTTCAATTCAATAGTTTCTTTTAAGAAACCCTGTTTTAAGAGAACTTGAGGATATTTATTTAAATTTAGTACCTACTCCCAGTTTTAAGATCGATCTTCTCTTAAATTTTTTAAGAAACAATTAGATTTGCAACAAATATTTCAAATGTGCATCCCTTAAGTTCCTTATGTTTTATCTTAAGGGATCAGTGTTTCTTAAAAGAAACGAATTATTGAATTATTCTTCAGCTCTCGGATCATCTATTGTTATCGTGCCATCATTGCACAAATAGATATTGTATCACAACACTTGGCTTTTACTTTTTTCTTCGCAATCATTTTAACATTTATTGTTCGCGATTATGCATGCGGCTTTAATCATCGAACGATCAGTACATTTAATTAAAGGATAAATTAAAGCGATTTACATCAATCGATTTGAGTCAATAGCAAAGTATAATTATAATTATAATTGCAACTGGCCCAATTATAACTATAATTGTAACAAATTATAATTGCAAATTGTGAAATATTGCAAGGTCAATTGCAACAAATTATAATTTATTACAATTACAATTATAATTTGTTACAATTATAGTTATAATTATAATTACGTAATCCTGAATATATAACGATCGCATTTCAATGACCGAGTAAAATCAGTGTGTTATGAACAACAATTCGTCTACATCGATACTTTCGACGTCGACACGCGGGCCTTCGGTCGCACCTGCGATGAGTGCTATCGTAGCTGGCAGTCCAGTAGAGAGGCGCCACTGTCCCGCGTTATCGCTGCTCACAGCGGTGGACACATGCAAAGCTTCCTCCTGAGCTGGAACTAGGTCTTGCCCCACGCTAAGCGCAGCTTCAATTACGCCAATTTTCCCGCATCCTCTTTCCGCTTCGCGCCTCGCCGACGTGTCACCGATGATAAGGCAACGTCGAGCGCGAGGACCGCGGCGGAATCTTCCGCGCGGCCCCGGATGTAACACACTCCCTTATCAGCTGATAACACCTATCCTCCACTGTTGTGTATCTTCCAAAAAAAAAAAAAAAAAAAAAAAAATCCCTCTCAAAACATCGACGGCCGTCGACGTTCTCTGCTTCCCGAGACTCCCGCCTTTCTCTCCTCGCCTTTCTCGAGCTCCTCTTCTTTCCTGATCCTGTTGCCTGTCACCGAGAGCAACGTCACCGAAGATCCGGGAGAAGGATGGAGATTGCCCCGCAGATGTTAGTAAGTGCTCTCCTTGGAAGAGAAGATGCGACGAAAGAGAACGACGCACCACCGTTCTTCACCTCCCGGTATCCCGGATGTATTTTCTGACGACGAGAAGAAGAATACGGCAATGCGGCGCAAAGCGTGCCCGCGCTCGTGCTCCACTCTCCGCAAGCAGCGGGTCTCGGCAACGCTTTCGCGAATGTACGTGTGGCACGGGTACGATGATGTGAGCACCGCACACAGACGAACGTACGGGAGCGACAGGCTGGTACCGCCGCGTCTGCGCCGCGCAGCTTACCTATTGACCGAATATCATCGCGATAGCTATATAGCTGCGATAGTGGTGCACACACTAGCAACGGGAATGGCGTGCTGGTCGTATTCGTGGGAGCGGTTGCTTCGAGGTGAATCCTGAGGCTCGCTCTCGCTCTCACGTCTCCTCATCGAGCAGCCACGGTGACCGCGATGGCGGTCAGCTGATCGCGACCGCCGTTCGCAATTTCGAAACTTCGTAATTGTCAATCAACGAATTTGTCTTCCTCTCGTTTTTCGCCGTTCGATAGGTTTGCCCAAGTGAAATCCTTCTCCCAGGCTTTAATTCGAAAATATATCGTACGATTTTTAAGATTCGATATAATATATCTTTATCTTTCACATTTTAGTTTTATGGGAGAATCTGCGATCAATCTTCTAACAAAAGTTCTTGGCACACTATCTCCCTCCCCTTTTTTGTTTTTCTTCCGTCTTGTCGATCTGTTATCCTTTTATCCTGTTTTTCTTTTTTACAGAGTATACTCATTCGCCTGTTACGACGCAACGCTCTTTGTAATGTCAATATTTTCCATCGTCCGTCTGTTTTTCAATATTATGTTTACATCCATATGTTTTGGTTGTGAATATAATTCCTACGAGTGATAATAATATGTATACTGAAAGACTGGTCTTTATTTTAGCACTTAGTTGCAATAAATTTCGGAGAATTGTAATCGATATATTTTCGTTGAATTTAATTTTACGATATTTTAAGGTATGTTAAACGTCGCTGTACATTCTATACAGGATGTTCGAATGTATGCTGCCAGTACTGAAAGTCTATAGTTCATGTTATGTACATATATATATATATATATATGTAGAAATTCAATACTGACAGTATATATTGGATCATGGTCACATTTTAGACACTCTCTAATCAAAGGGTGCGGTCAAAATCTCTCACTACAAGTGCTTTGAAGCATTCGATTTAATCAATTAGAAGAAGAAATTTTATGAACCGATTAATGCAAAAAATGCTTCAAAGGTTTTGTGGATACTTTTCATTTGGTGACACAAACGTCGTTCTATCTTGGTTACTCTCTGCCAAGAAAGATAGAATAATGTCAACTTGTATGTCACTAAATGGGAAGCATCCTTTAGCATTACGTTGACTGTACTTAGAGATCCTATAACAGAGTCTGTCCACGAGCAATCGTCAAAATAAAAATGAGAAAGAAGGATATATGTTACTGTCTCTTTTTATATATGCTATCTATATTCTAATTTAGACTATCTTCTTCATTCTAACTTACTGAAATTGACAAAAACGCCGGACTAATCAAATGTTTGTCATCTCATGGCTAGACTCTGTTATAGGCTCTTTAACCACGTTCAAAGTCACATTTTCAGCGAATTAAATAGTCCATTTTCAATTTCAGAATTCCAATTAGTGGAACCAAATTTTGTCCCAGCGCACAGTCAGAAATCTTTGCTGAAACATGGCATTGCCGACTCAATCTTGACGTTATTTTATGACTTTGATTAGAAAATCTGTACCGTATAAGAACGTTCCGGCAGTATTGCGGTAACATTGCAACGTTGCTGGAACGTTAATGAAATACTCTGCGTTGTAGGTATAGGATCGCATCAATCACCGCTTCTCGTGTCTTTTAACACTAACCCTTTATGTTGCGACGAGCGGGAGAACATCGACTGCACTGCACTGTACCTGCACAGCCACATTTAATTGTCTCACGAGACTCTCGTGGCGTGAAAATGATTTCCTCGTTGAAGAAGGGGACCGTTTGCAACTCGCTCGTTCATTCCCAAACGCGATCGCGGAAGTCCGTCGACATCGTTCCAACCCGACAAAGAAGGGTCGTCCGGAGGCAGGAGCACGAAGCGTTCGTTGCGAGGGCTAACTCGAAGTGCCGTTCACACAACAATCAAACGTCATTAATGCACACGCTACCGTACCGTAAAAATCAGCATTATAAGAATTTTTATCTTATTTCCTAAAGTTACGACACAATGGCCTCTCGGAGTTTGCAAATCTTGTGGGAACGATACTTCAACGAGATACAATTATATCCGACAAATGCGTCGAAGTGTTACGGGAGAGGAAAGGGTATAATCGCGCTATTCTTCTGGCCTCATTCCCGGCTAGACGTGGGTGGAAACGTATCCCGACGTGGTCGGGATCTTTTTTCACGTCTTCCGTGTTACGTCATACCTGGATTACGCAATCAGGACTAACCCCCGAGTCGATCCGCCCAACATCCCGTTCCGTTCGATGCGACTCCTCTTTAAAACGTCGCCTTGACCGAGTAAATATTACAATCAACGTCATTGAGAGATCACGTCTCTCGGAGAGATCGGGGCCGATTTAATTCCGATGAGTTCAGATTCCGATGCGTTCGCCACGTGTGTCAAGATCACCTATATATTTATTCATGACAATGAGATGATTGATATGACTTCACTGATGACGTGAAGTCTATTTTTCCTGTATGCCTTTCGCGCGGAAAATTGAGTTCAACGAAGATTAAATATCTATATAGTAGCTTCGATCTCCCTGGCGTGAAGAGAAAGGATGGAAAGTGCCGGAAAAGTGACTTACGTGGGCATCGACACAGCAGGACATCCAAGTTGCAGGAGGCTTCTGGCGAGGTACTCTGGCGCAGGTGCGTCACTCGCAGCTTCAGGTACGTATCGCCTGGCGGACCGGAACGTTCTATTGTTTCCGCCGCCACCGGCGCATCTGTCCGTCAACACGGTCGAAGAAGACGTGGACAACGTCGACGACGGCGACGATCTCGTGCTCGTCAGGCGTTCCTGCGCGGCGTGATGATCGTCGCTCGTCCGTGAGATCTTCAGAGAACCACCGCGACGCAAGCCTAGCTCACTCTCTGAAATTTTAAATTCACAATATACATATATGATTAGTCACTACTTGTATCAATGATTGACGTGGGCTGCTATTGTCGTGTCAATCACAAAAGTGAAAGTAATCTACGAGTGATGATTGGGAAATCTGGAGAATGGAGAGAAGTGTTATTATAAAATTTCTCTTTCACACTCCTTTTAAACTAAAGAACTAGGTATCTCCCAATATCCTTAATTTTTATTTTTAATAATGGATACTTGCTGATTAAATTTAACGTCGATATCTTTAACTTCGAGAAAACTATTTGCAATTGCTTCTTGATTCAAAAAAGTTAGATTCTTATTTTGAATGTGCAATGTTAAATAGAACTTGGTGATTAAATTTCGAATTAAAATCCACACTTACTTTTCCAATATTTCATGAAACATCAAACACTGGAAAGAAAGTATTTATGACTACAATTGCATGCAAAATAATTATAATAATTAAAATAATTAGGAGCTCTATTTTTATATTATTATTACTTATAATATAATAGTAATAATTATAAAAATAAAATTCTTAATATAATTATTTTATCATGTAATTATAGTCGCAAATATGACTTTTCTTTTAGTGCAGTGACTCCTCTGCAACACAGAAGCTTGCAGTAACGTTTACAATGTTACTACAATATTGCTGGAATGAGACTTTTGCTCTGTGCTGTATGGAACTTAACTATCTAGACAAAATATGTTTTTGTATCGAAGTATAAATTTTTATACGTATTTCGAAATAACTAAAAATAACATCCGAAAATCTCTTACGTTCCTCACTTGATCGCGGAACTTTTTTAATGCGCTTTCACAAAACTACCGAATGTTCATGCAGAATGTTCATAACTTTCTCTTTTGCGTACAACTCTTTCGAAAGAATTAGTCACTTCAATGAACGCAACAAATTGCTGTGATTTATCGTTACGGAATCAAAAAAAAGAGCGAAACGATGGAAACGAAACGCACGCCAGCAACACACTCGCCGTCCGATTGAACCTACTTCGTCCCCGTCATCGACGACTTTAATTCGTTTAAAACCTCCGCTCGTGCATTACGTCAACTCATGTATTAACGGCGTGCATCTCCGATATACTACCTGCATTACGTGAGCGTATTACGAACGCAAGGTGCCTTTAGCTTAAGTGGCTTAAGCCTGTCGAACACGCATTATTTACCTTGGATCTGAAACACCCGCAGAGCCATGTTAGCAAAGATCGACAGCCCATTACCAACCAACCATCCCTGCATCCTCTAATTCTTCTAAATATTACAAGTCTTTCAGTCAATCAATCTTTTAGGATACCTATTTGAGCTTTATACTTACAAATAAGTATAAAGAATTCGAAATCGAGAAAATTCAAAACAGAAATTAAAGCGGTATAACTTTGATGAGTTAATATACGGAAAGAATGATTTTTTTGAAGTATCTAAAAAATTTAGCTGGATACAAATCTGAGAATAATTTTGTTGGATCGACAAAATAATTATGTGTGGAATACTTAAGCATTGCTGGTATGCAATGTTGCAAAAAAATTTAATATTCTAACAAATTTGAGCGTTCGTCTAGCTACTTTTTTTTTCGAAATTTTAGCAAAATCGTTCTTTCCGGATCAATCATGAATTATTGAAATGAATATTTATGTTTCTGTAAAAACGGAAAATTTTATTCGAATTGTTGAAATTGTAGGTGAATAGCTGATTCCGATATAAAATGATGAAAACAATTGGATGAGATTTACATATCATTTTAATAAGAATATAATGTTAATATGAATATTCAAAGAGAAAAGCAAAAGATTTCATCATCATTTAAATTAACTATTTTAACGTTTAAATTTTGACAATAGTAGACGCAAACGTCCAAAATATTTATGCGCTATGCAAAAAGCTTCCAATTGTAAGATCAATTAAAAAATAAAGAAATAACTTTTGAACCATAACATTAATGTAGACACACAAAAATCACATTATTTATTATTTAATAATTGATTAATTATTTAATAATTCATTAAAAATTTATTTGAATACACAAGAAATTATTTATTTATTATTATTTATAATTATTAAGCACACAAAAAATTAAATTATTATTTATTTATTCTTCATTTGACGCAAGCTTGTCCGAAAAAAAAATAGGTTCTTATTGCAAAGTAAACTTTCCATGTCAAATATTTATAAAATCGAGGTCATCAAAATTATACCAATTTCGATTTCTAATTCCGCATCACTGCTAATTCAATGCGACGCGAATCAATGACACGAAAGTGGAACAGATAGATCTATTTTTTTTTTCACAAGAGATATTTCACGAATGTTATATGACCTCGTGGCCTTCCGTCCAACAACTGAAAAATCAAGAATGCCGAGCAGGCGCGCGTGTATATACCGAAATTACCACGTTTTTGGCAATGTGCCGCGCATCGTTCTGTGTATCGTGCGAGAAAACACCGCATTTTTCGGAAGAATCGACGATGCGCCGCGTGGATCGAATGTGATTCGCGAATTATTTGCGGCACAGCATGACATGATAGGGAAGCAGTAGGCGGTTCCTTGAAAATCGCAACGTCCCGGAATTCCCTTCCATTTTCAGACACTGGAAATAATAGGTTGAAGAAGAATGACATGTTTCACGGAATTTAACTTTGCGACCCTAAACTGGAAAAGCAAAATACGAAAAGATAAAAATAAATCACAACATCGTAAAAATATTCAGCATGAGAAATTCATTGATAGAAATTTAAATCAATTTCTTTAATCATATATTCATCGAATTTATATCATTTTCAATTAAATAAAAAATGCTAAATAAAAAAATGTCGAAGATTTGAATCTCTACAAAAAATATAAACTTTCCATATTCATAATTTAGAGCAAAGCCCAATCGATAATGGTTTGCATTAAAATAATCTGAATCTACTGTGTTATTCTAAGTACATTAATCATTTATTTTAATTCGAAATTTTCTTTAAATATCCTGATATTTTTTATTATTTAAAAATATCAAATAATTGCATTACATGTGTTTATCATAATCTCTTCCCAGATGAAACTCTGATGCAGCTAAAACGTACTTTATAACGTACTTAATAAACCTAAAATTTACGAACGCTGTTATCGATCTGTATTCTCTTTTGTTCAAAATGGTATAAATACCATTATCTCACACTATCCATTACAATTAATCTATCCAGTAAACATCGATTGCGTTCTAGAGGAGAATAGTCGTTTATAACAACCAAACAATTTATCTTCGATATTACAATAAAAGTCGCTTGCATAATTATATTTAATTGCTGCCATTAGATGCAGCTGCTGCTTTCAAGAGCGATAAGCGCTTGCAATTTCGTCATAGACGTGTTGAAATAATTCGACTCGATATGCTGCAATAAACATTATAAATATCAAATTGAAAGAGTAATATAAATTCATATCGTTTTGAAAAACGAAAGAGATTTGAAATATATTTAATATAAAATGTAATCATTTTACGAAAATACATCCGTATACGAAAATGCATAGCCTTTCCATTTACGAATTCAATATATTTAATAAAAATATTTAACGTTATTTTATAGAAATAATATTAAATATTTCGTGAAAATTATCGAACGGTAATAATATGTTGTATTGTTTAATAATATGCGGCTTTCTATACCAAAGATCGCGAATTAAGCCGGATATATTTACAAAAGAACGAATACCGATTGTAAAAATTTGTTATTTATTGCACAAATGTCGCACAAGTTCAATTGCTATGTGTGGTTATTGTTATATGCTAAGCTATACCATTGAATTTAATCGAATCAAATCAAAGCATTTCATGCAATCAAGAATAGAAATAAATTACTTCGAATACAAACATGAATGTCCGAACATTTGCGTTCGCTGTTCGTTTGATGTTTAGTCGCTAAGTGTATGCCAGCTTTAGTAGGCTTGTTTTTTTACAGCTGAATTTGTCGCGCCGTCATCTTTTTTGTTTCTTATCCAATTTTTAATTATGTATACTTATTTCATTTTTGTATTCACTTTATATGTGAAGAGAGTGCAGAAAATGTGATAATCTATTATAGAACAGAACTATTATATCATATTTGTACGATAAAATTCAATAAATAGCGAATACATGAATCGTTATGCATTTCGTTACATTTGAAATGATAAAATTCTCGTAATATAATAAAAAAATTAACCTGCACGGCTAATCAACTTCAGCGATTCGCACGCGTTAAAATGGCTGTTTATCGAAACGGACATTTCACATTCATTTATTTGGAATGAATATCAATAGAAAATCAGAATTATAACTTTCGAGAAATTATTATTTCAAATGTACAATATCATGCAACGTGCTTTGAATGTTGTAAAATTAAATATAATTTATTATCGTTCTCTATCGTCGGAAACGCGTACGAATCACTGACAAATATGAAAAGCGATGATATCGAACGTTTGATAATAATTAATTCGAGATAATAATAATATTCAGTATATAATTATTATTGTAAAAATAACAGATACGTGATTCTACAAATGAAGTATTCTTCTGATTGGTTAATCAAATGTTTCGAAGCATTCATAGTGAGATTTTGACCGCACCCAACGTTACATATTTCATAGTAATAACTATTTAGCATGCGGCTCCAGCAAGAATGATACTAGTATATTGTTCGTTCCGTATCGTTATTATTCGAATCGGCAGGTGAGCCGCTCCACGTGTCATTCTCATCGAAATGCGATCGCATGAAATATAAGAAGGAACCGAACGCGTTTATTTCCAATGAACAATTAGCTCGATTATCAATCAATGCAATTAATTGACTGCTACAACTGTAAACTTCGTGAGTAGTTTTATCAAAGTATTTCACGAAGTTTATTCGTTTTACTTAAACGTAGGGGTAGATAGACAGGTATTATACTATTAGTATACTATTAGTATACTATTAGTATTCACACATTAGTATTGTTTCACTGCGATATTTATACATACACAAACGAAAATAAATTGCTAAGAGGTATTTACATTTGAATGTATTTTGCATCGAGTCTCAAATTTTTCACGTATTTAAATTTAAATGCAATTTGTTCGTTATAATACTTTTAGATTGAGAGCGTAGAATAGATTAAATATTTCGAAATACAGAGATATCATTTGTTGTGTTAATTTCCGAGTCGCACGTGTCGCGTGAATTATTTGTTTTTTTTTTCGCATTGTTTTTACGATCGCGTTTCGATTGAATTTGGGATTTCGCTACAATGCAAATGTAAAACAATGTCGCGTGCGACTAATATCAGGAATGCCATGTAAAATGTGAGAAATTATTCTATTATTATGATTAATATGTGCGATCGTAATTATTGTGTTTTTATAAGTGCAACGAGCAAATCTGCAAAGAAGGAAAGACCTGTTTTAACACAAGCAGTCCCACTTCTCTATATCAGAAGAATGTTTCTTTTTTAAATCCTTTTTTTATTTTTCTGATTAACTTGTGGCTAGGCTTAGTCTAATAATGTAAAATTGTATTTTCTATCTATAATTAATCATTAAATGATGGTTTTGTAGTGAATAACTTTTAAAGTTATCATACACTATAAAATCATTAGTTTAGTGATTAATCATAGCTAAAAAAAACATAATTTTTACATTATCATCAAATAAAATTAAGTCTAAACCACAATTAATCAAATAATTAAAAACTCGATCCTTATCTCAGTTCATTTACTTCCAACTTTTCTTTCAAATTATTAATGTATTACGTGATCCTTTCAAATCGTTTTATCATATTACATAATAACAATTATCGCCTATATTTTGAGAAATTTTCTCTAGAATAAGATAAATTAATAAATAAATAAGAGTGTAAAAAATGACAAATAGGATTAATAATTTCTCTTTACTTTTGCTTTGTTTTACATTTGAAATAATAATTCGTGAACGATTTAAATGAATTTTAAAAAATATATTAAAAAAATGTTTTTATTTGCTTGTTGTTTGTATGACATATATTTCAAAAAACATTTATTGCGTAGGAAAATAAATATTTTTTCCCGAGTTCTAGTCTTCTCAAAAAGACAGGCAGACAAATATGCATTTCCTACAGAAATTGCACATCGCTTAGATAAAGATTTAGATAAAGAAGTGCGCACGACGATAATAACGTTTTATCGTCATAAATGACATTGGCAATATATAAGCCATATTCATACCATATACTCGTACATATATTTTCGATTCAATGCAAATAGATACGATCCGTGAGCCATCAGCGATTCAGTGATCTCAGTTTGCCAATTGCATATTCGAATCAAATTAGAATTAATGCATTTAAATTTCTACGCGGTTCGCACGATTCTCAACTTTCTGCTATCGTATGATACATCCACATGAAACTAGATTACAATCAAGTTAGAGCCTACTGAGCCTCTCTGCGAATTAAAATAATATAAATAATTATATTATAAAATAATACAACAAACACACACAAATAAAATACATGTGACATGGTTTTGTTATTATTAAAAAATTTAGTTAGATCTGAAAATAATT